TATTGCAAGAGTGAAAATAATAATACCTGGGTTCTTATCTAGGTTGTATTTGTGAGTTCTCAGACAATTCACTGAACCTTGTAATACTACCTTAATTAACTACTACATGGGATTAATGTGAGAATCAAATGAAAGCCCTGTTGCAAATGAAAAGTATAATCATCTTTTCCATCCTCATCCCTTCAGATTCTCCAGTACAGTCTCTTAGCAAGTTTTCAATCTATATTGGGGGGGGTGGGGGGGCATAAACCACTTGCAATTCTGACTAGCTGGAGTTTTGTTGTTCTTGTTGTACAGGGCACAAGCAGCGAGGAAAGGGTGGGGAGATTGCTTATATATTATAAACCTCCTCCCAAAGGAGAGTATTATTCATACCACCTACCGATCAAAGACTCTTTGAGACTTACAAGCTCTTAGATGGTTCATGTTAAAAACTTATCTTTTTCCCGAGTACATTCCCTATAAAACCTTTTACCATTAGTATATTTCAGAAAATTCTGTAACAATTACTTGGGTTATATTTATCTTTTCCTACTCTACTACAGATGTGTCCAAAGAAGGGACTCAGTGTTTCGTCTTCAGTTGTTGTTTGTGAATTGTTTTAACTGGGTGAACATCCAGCTGAAATATAAAACTAAGCGGCTTAAGTTGTGCCTGAGAGAACTGAATGAAAGAGAACTAAATGACAAGAGACCAGAATTATACCTCCCTCTGATTTCCCCCAACTCTTTCCTCTTCAAGTCTATTACCTATTTCTAAAGACCTTCAGAAACTAGGCTCTAGGCTTATGCAAAAGTTCTCTACTATATTCTACATAGCCACAAATTTATTTACAAATATTTTTATATTAATAACATTTTATAAAATACAATGTTTTAACTCCAGGTGTGAAAATACTTGAAGGAAAGTACACTAAATGGGTATTTTTTTAAAGTTATTCATTTGGCAAACAATCTTGTGCAAAATGTTCACTATATAACATGTACAAGGCCAGGCATGGTGGCTCACGCCTGTAATCCCAACACTCTGGGAGACTGAAATGGGAGGATGACTGGAGCCCAAGAGTTCAAGACCAGCCTGGGCATATAGTAAGACTCTATTCTTTAAAGGAGAAAAAAACTATGCATTCTGTGAATTCCATTTACATTTAGAATCTCATTCTCACATAAACAGTAATATTTTAATTTGTATAAAATCAAAGCAATTGTAAATATAAATCATAGGCTTCGTTTTTTTTCCTGCACACACAATATGCCTTAATTTTTGAAAATGTTATAAAAAGAGTATCCTTGACTGGGCGCAGTGGCTCACGCCTGTAATCCCAGAACTTCGGGAGGCCAAGGATGGTGGATCACTTGAGGTCAGGAGTTCCAGACCAGCCTGGCCAACATGGTGAAACGCGGTCTCTACTAAAAATACAAAAAAATTGGCCGGGCGTGGTGGGGGGTGTCTGTAGTCCCAGCTACTCAGAAGGCTGAGGCAGGAGAATGGCATGAACCCGGGAGTCGGAGCTTGCAGTGAGCCGAGATGGCCCCACTGCACTCTAGCCTGAGCAACAGAGCGAGACTCCGTCTCAAAAAAAATAAAAATAAAAAATAGTAATAATCCTTGAGACAAAGCCTAGCTCCATACACCAAGTTTCATATCTTTTTCTCCACTTAATTCACAGAAACTTTTATAACAGCATAAAATAGCTATAACATGGAAAGATACAGTATTTTGGGACCCCGCAGATTAGTCCATTTTTTCCCCAAATTTCTTAAGAATTATCCAGGGAGCCTATGAAAAATACTCTAGAGATTCTCATTCAGTTGCTCTGGGCAGAACAAAAATTTATTCCCCGAAGTGATTCTGATGATTAACTAACATTGGGAAACACTGATCGAGTACAGCAGTTCTCAATTTGGCACATATTACAATTTCCTGGGGAGCTTTTAGAACTCTTAAAACCCAGGCGGAGGTCCAGACCAACAGAAATAGCAGCAATACTTTAAAAAAAAAAAAAAAAAAGTTCCCCAGGGAAGGTTAGAACCATCGATCTGATCTTGTAGAATTTCTCCTGACTTCTAATTCACTTTGTTTTTGATGTAGTTGTTTTGTTTTTCATGTGGGTTGACAAAAAAAGTGTGAAAAAAAATAAACCATCTCTTTCACTTCAGAACCAAGATGCCACTTAACAATTGGCTAAGTTAAAGTGGAGCTAATCTTTTTGCTTCAGAAATCGCTGGAAAATACTCTTAGTCCTAATTTTAAATAAAATAGACTAATCTTTAGCTCCTACTACCAAGCTATTAACATATCTTACAAATAATTATTTAAGGTTTTCTTTTTAACCTCTAAATCAGTATTTTAAAATTTCAAGCTATTTAAAAGGTCTGTCATCACAGTTCCTTACCAGCAAAATTATTTTGATACTTGAATTTCATGACATGGTTTTTTCATGATGTACAATACGTAACTCCATATATTGAAGTTACATTGTGCACTAAGAGAGGGAAACAGATTTCCTTCTTCCATATAAAAAAAGGATTTTTGCTCCATTAGCAAAACCCCATCATTGGTCTGTCCATAGATACTCAAGAGTGGGAAACTTCTCAAGGTATTAGTCAACCCATTCTAAGAACATTCTTTTTAATAAAAAAGATAACGTTAAAAAAATCATTAAAAATATGCCAAGTGCAAGCTTATTTTTAAGAGTGCATTTTACTTTCTAAAAATTATTATACCTTTCATCGACGTGCCGTCTGGCAATCCACTTTTATTATTACAATACTGAAGTTGTTGAAATATCACTTTTATCGCTCTCAAGATTGCTAGGCATTTAGATATTTCAAATTTCAGCAGTGTTTGTGATTTTTCCTTCTGGGTTTTAAAAACGGGTTTAGGATGCTTTACCAAGCAAATCACATTACTACAGATAAAACTTCAGCAATGTATATAGTCTATAGTAAAATGTATATTTTTGATTACTTCTATTCACAAAGGAGTAACTGTGAGGTCCTAGATTTTCAAATTAATATTCTAAGTAAGAATCAGATGCAATGGATTTTGTTTCAGTAAGTTTAATGAATGAAAGCCCCCCTTTCTCATTATTAAAGATATATACGAACGAAAATTTGAATTATAACCAAAATTTAAGTATACTACAGTATACTTTGTAAATGTCCCCAAACTTGAATGGAATCCAGAATGTGCCTCTTAAGGCACAGAGCAAAAAATAAAAAATCAGAATCTCAATTAAACATTCAAGTGATACACACCATCTAGAAAATTGGGCAAGCCTGAATAATCGATGGAGTTTTTCCGTTAGGGTAAAACTATGCTACACTAAGTTTCTGCAAAGCCTAAGTATTTTGTGTTAACATACTGAACTTGAAACTTGCCATCTCAAATTCCAAGGGGTAAGACTGTATACAACAGATGGCCTTTTGGTGCTGCTTAAAACTTCCCTGAAAACCAAACATGTTTATTTTTTAGAGGTGTTCTCGGCTCTCGGGAAGTAGTCAAATATTAAAACACCCGTTCCTGAAAATTCCTGGCTGGTCCTATCTGGCCGGGAGCACCGACCCCTGGACGGGAAGAGGCAGGACCGCAGCACCGAGCCGGGACGCTGAGAGCCGCCCGGCGCACACGGAGCCCGCCCGGGGGCGGGGGGCTCGCACGTGCCCAGCCGGGGGCGGGGCCGGCGCCGGCGAGCAGCGACCCCGGCTCGGGGAGGCGGGCGCGGCCGGGCCGACCTCCCCCGCGGCCGCGATCCAGCAGTTTACATAAGGGTGCGCGTCATGGAACTGACGGAGCCACACAGAGACGTCTAGGTCATGCAGGAGGCGCCCGGCCCCGGCCCGCTCCCGCCGCCCCAGACCCCTCCTCTCATCCGACAGAAAGACAGACAAGAAGGGTTCCCGACCTGTCGTGCCCTGCATGTTCAGAGTCTGTCATGTTTGGTCAAGAACGGGGCGGGGCTGGAGGGCAGGTCTGCGAGGCCGGCGGCGACGGGGCGCGGGGAAGACCCCTGCGCCGCCTGCGGGAACCTGCTCCCGGCCGCCGCCGACAGGTGACGAAGTGGTAAAAACTCACGGTTACTAGTGAGCGACACAGACACAGACTTTCCAGTCTATTAACAACCACGCCAGAGAGGTGGGGCTCTAACTGCAAACACTGGGCAACGGCCCCGCGCTGCCGGCGCTGCCGCTCTAGTCTCTATTCGCCGCCGGTGGCTGTGGCGTGGGAGCGGGCGGGCGGCGTGCAGCGACGCGGGGATTTGGACAGTGGCCGTAACGGTGATTTCTCCTCACCAACATGGCGGCACCCGAAACAGGCGGCTCGAGAAAATGGCGCCGGCCGCAACACCTTGCCCGGGACTAAAGGGCAAGAGAGATTCCTCCGCGAGCCGCGGCCCTTGCCCAGCCCGCCGGGGCCGAGCGCGTTGACCATTGGAGGAGACTGCCCGTCAATCACCTGCAGGGGCGGGTCTTCGCCCTTCTCCGTGCGGCGGCGGAGGCGGCAGCCTAGTGGCGGGGCCGGGCGGCGAGAGACGCGGCCGGATGGCTCTTCGAGTGTCTGCAGGAGGGGGAGGCGGCCCACGGGACCAGCGAGGGCCACCAGCGCCTCAGCTCCCGGCCCAGTGCGGGTCGCGGTTTTTCCTGCCAGAGGCCCGCTGCCTGAGGAGTTCCAGACGCACCAAGCAAACGGGCCCCAAAACCATTAGCTGAGGCGGGCAGGGGTGGGATAACAAAGAACAAGGCGACTGTAGAGTCCTTAAAATTTTTTGTTAAAACCTTTGTTCTTGCAATAATAGGGAAATGCGGTTTATCCTTCACAGTTGTAGCAGGTATCTGTTTTTGTAACGTTTAGTGCTCAGAATCGTGTTTTAAGGAAAACAGCTCGCCCATGCAATTTTTTTTTATATTTAGTGCTAAATTTACCCATTATTACTTGAAATAGGAATAGCTATTGAAATAATTA